GTTCCCCCCCCCCCCCCCTTGCTAAAATAACTTTAAGCCTAGAAAAGGCTGTCTTCCTAGTTTTCGATCCTAAATGGATTAAGGATTGATTTAGCTTTATGTGGCAGATTAATATCCGGAAGTCCAGGTTGTTTGTAAGAAAGCTTAGCTTATGGGAGGGCCCAAGTCTCCTGCTGTAAGCCTGCTGCTGTCATTACCTCAGTGCAACCACAGTTAGCATAAGCCACTATTGAGACTGAGTGCTTGTTAGGTGGATTTTTCCAGATATACTGAGTTGGACATTGCTAGGCATTTTTACTCTTGTTATATTTTTTATCCCTTGAAACAACTCCTGATATTGGAAGTATTTTTGTTTTGCCAAAGAGGATCCAGTGGCTTGCTTCAATATTTAGGTAATCTCTCCAGTGGTTGAGTGGGGATAGTGTGAGTTGCTTGTTGCAGAAATCCCAAGAGAGAAGTTTCTACAGAGTATTCAGGACTAATTCTTTCTACTTTACCATGTTTTGCTATTCCTAGGTGTAGCCCTCATCTTCCTGGTCAAAGATGACCAGATGAATGGCTAGCTATCCTGTCCATAAGGCATAGATAGTTGATGGGATGCTACAAGAAAGAGGACCCAGGGCCACTACACAAAACTTACAGCTTAGCGGCTAAAATGAAGCTGTATGACTATAGCTAGCTGCAGAGGAGGCTGGGAAATGTAGTTCTCACTGTGAGACATCATGTTCCTGTTGTCTAGGAGGAATTATGAAATTTAGTGGCACCTACCAAATCTCTGCATTGCTCCAGACCAATAGAGAGCCAGGATTAGAACCACGCCTGTCTGTCCCTGACAGCCATGTTCTTAATTTCCTGTACTATCCTGGCTCAGTGTCCCCATCTTTGAGATGGAACTATTAGAATTGTAAGTCACCTATTCCAGAAGTAGAGGATAATGAGGTCATGAAGGTGCAAGGGGATGAGGTAGCACTCATCCCACCGTTCAGCAGAGCCACATCACTAGGAATATTTCCTGTTCTGTTTGAGCTTCTTCACTAACTGTTTGAATCTGCCCTGCTTCCCTCCTAGGCCCGACTGCCTGTGAAGTGGATGGCACCAGAGAGCATCTTCAACTGCGTGTACACATTTGAAAGTGATGTCTGGTCCTATGGGATTTTTCTGTGGGAGCTATTCTCCTTAGGTAAAATGCTCTTTGCTAGAGACACCCTCATTAGACTCCCAAGAGCTTCTGGAGGTTTCATTAGTGTCCTGCTCACTGGTGATTAACACTGATTTGCCAACTCTTCTGTGCCTCAGGAAGCAGCCCTTACCCTGGGATGCCAGTCGATTCCAAGTTCTACAAGATGATCAAGGAAGGCTTCCGGATGCTCAGCCCTGAGCATGCACCTGCTGAAATGTGAGGACCACAGCCCTTTCCTTCAGATAATTTACTTAGATGAAGGCTTTCACTAGCAATTTGCAATGTCACTTGGTTCCTTTGCTGACACCCCACTCAAATGTCATTGCTATGGTTTCTTTCATAATCTCTTGTCACCAATAGTACAGAAAGTGTTGACAGTATCTCACATAGACAGGGTTTTTATGTTATTTCATGTGTTCTGGTGCATAGCCCCAGAATTGTGACCGAAGTTGTTATATGGTGTGCAGTGGAGGGCAGGTTAAGGGCAACAGCTTTGGTTTTGCAGGTATGACATAATGAAGACTTGCTGGGATGCTGATCCCCTGAAAAGGCCGACGTTCAAGCAGGTGGTCCAGCTCATTGAGAAGCAGATTTCAGATAGCACCAGCCATGTGAGTAACCAGCCAGGCCTCCTCCATGGACATGTCTGCCCCCTCGCCCCCTGGCTTAGGTTGTAAGCTGGGCTTTGGAGCAAGGAATAAAACAACGGAAACCCATTTTTTAGGGAGCGGGAGCGGAGGAGAGGGCTTTGTGGTTCAGACTACCTATTGAAATAGAAGTTGTCATAAGGCTTGACCATGTTTCCTCTTCCACTCAGTGTTGGTCTTGGGGGCAGTCTGGTTTTCTCCTGTGTCAGGGCTGCTCTCCCTGGGTAGGTTGGGGTGATATAAACTGGAGTGAAAGCACAGAAGAGATAGCTTGTTTCCTCAGTGAACTGAGCCTTCTGCTTCAACAGCCAGAACCAGTCAGTGGTAATTGACTGTTGTGTCCACAAGCCATGTAGTAGAGGGAAGAGTTATTTGAAGTCAAGGAACTCCCTCCCAGTGATTCGAGGAGTGTGGAATGAAACTCAAATCCATTATTTCCTCCCTCCCCTGCTTTTAAAGAATTGGCCCCTCTTACTGGACTAGTGCATTTTTTAGGGCCCCATCCCCCACCCCACCATGTGCTCAAAGCTATTTTTTCTAATAGTACACTGCTGATCCTTTTGGGTTAAAGCTTGCTCTTCAGGGTGTCAAAGCACATTCCAAATGAAACAGCATTTTCTACCAAATGCTTTGATTCCTGACAAATGGGCCCTAGAAGAGCCCTGGGTCTCTCTGCAAATTACATCAGCAGTTGGCTATAGGGATTTGTAAATCTTCTTAATAAGTTTGTGCTTATTCTCAGGTGTGTCCTGTTGAATAAGTTGCCCTTTCGGATATTTGCTATTTCCCCTGTAGAGTGCCTTCCTTGGGGCAAACTGACACATAACCAGAGCCTGCAAAAGTACTATCTGGGTCTTGGCCACCAGTTGTTGCAAACTCTCCTCCAGAGTCTTTGTATGGGACTTGTGTTTCTGAGGCTCCGTTGCTTCCCTGGTTGCTGAGTTTGTTGTAGGCACTGCTGTATTGACTGTGGGCTTTTTCTCCTCAGACTTACTCCAACTTAACAAACTGCAACCCCAGCCTGGAGAACCCGGTGGTGGACCATTCTGTGCGGGTCAATTCGGTTGGCAGCAGCGCCTCTTCCACCCAGCCTCTGCTTGTGCACGAAGATGCCTGAGCAGACATCACATCCAGTGGTCTCCCCTGTGGGTGCAATCCCCATTCGTTTTGGCTTCCATGCTGGTTGTTTTGTTTTCCTTTGATTTGCATCCTACTCCAGGGTAATGGGTCCCCCCAACTGTGATCCTGTCTTTATGAGCACACTTTAGTGGCTGATGACCCACCTCCACCTTCCATCAGCCACCATCCCACTACAAAGGTTCGAACTGTACATATGTATTTTCCCAATAGCAAAGTAGCTCCTTCAGTAAACAGAAGAACTTCTGCTTTGGAGGAGGGAGGGTGAGGTGACACTAGATGCCTGGAGTTCTTTCTGATGCTCCTCTGATTCTGTTTGAAAAGTATGGCGGGTAGTTTATTTAAAGAAATAGAGTAATCCCCTCTGACCTAGAGAGCCTTCAGTGATGACGCAGAGATGTATGTAGCAGCATTAGAAAGTGAAGCCCAGGCCCTTTGTGTAGAAAGTAGACCATTATTAGAACAGAGGACACACGTGTGAACATCTGAGCTTAAGAAATCTCATATTTCATGCTGAGAAGGAGACCCAGGCTGTGAAAAAATGCCCCCAAAGCATGAACAAAGATGCTTTGCACAGGCTTTTGTACAACTGACCTGGTTTTTAAATAGAGTTTGCTATTAGGGAGTTGAATTGGAGACAAGACCTCCCTAGCCAACATTTGTACATACTCATCCACACATTGTACATGTTCATATGTTGGGGGTGGGGAACCCCACAAGCTTTATTTTCCATGTTCAACTCTGGCATTAGTCCCGCTTTGTGTAGGAATACATTAAGAGCCATACAAGTTTTAAGGAAACAGTTAATGCAACTTATTTTTAAAAGGAAAAATGTAACTGCCAAGCACAATCTTTATAAAACCTCTTAGCCAATGAACTTGCTCTGTGGATTGTCTACAAGCCTTCCAACTTCAGAGTAGCATTGCAGTCAGTGGAACTGATGCTGGTTGAACGCGTTACCGATTCAGTGATTCCCACAGGAGTGAGAAAACAGTGCGGTTTTAAGTTGGATTCTCACATAGCAGAAAGTGAAAGACTCAGCCTTCTTTATGGGCACATCCTGGACATTGGGCCAGTATCTATATAAGTGTGTATGTGTGGACGTGTGTGTGTGCGTGCACGAGCTTGTGCATGTAGACAAGTTATTCTGGGGGGTCTTCTTGCTCTGAGTTCAAGAGGTTCCTCCCGTACCCAAGAAGTAACTGCTTTCATCGCCACTCCTGTCTCTCTCCTGTTTGCCTGTGCATCACTACGTAGAAGAGCTTGCCAAAAGCTGCGGTGGAGGCTTGGCAGAAGCAGAGTGCTTAAGGACCTATTTATTTGCAATCCACCTGCACTTAAGACACTCTTATCTAAACTCAACATACTGTACCCATTCCTTAGACCATATATAATGCTGCCATTCCACAAAAACATTGAAATTCTACCCTTTAGGCTGTAGAGTGGATATTGTCTTGTAGTTGACCCCCTTCCCTGGGTTATCATTGTCCAGTATAAGTGATTAAGTATATACATGGCAAGATTTGCCTGTTGTCTTACAAGATTCAGGTATGCTGCCTTCATAGTTCCCTCCTCCTTCATCCTTTTAGGCTATGTTTAGAGAAGTGTGGCCGTTAATCTGGAAGTGACCATTTGCACTGGAGTTCTACACTCTTGCACCTTTCCAAAGTTAAGCGGTTTGGGGGTTTTGTTGTCATGTGAGAGGCTGTCACGGTTTGCCATACTTTGTCCTTTGAGTTCCCACTGACTTTGATTATAGTAAGGAAAGTAGCTGTTGATTCTAGATGTCCAGGTACTTCAGGGGCACATCATTGAGAATTTTGTCTCGGATATTCTTGAAAGTTTATATTTTTATAATTTTTTTACATCAGATGTTTCTTTCAGTTGCTTAATGTTTGAAATTATTTTGTGGCTTTTTTGTAAATATTGAAATGTAGCAATAATGTCTTTTGAATATTCCTAAGCCCCGTGAGTCCCTGAGATATTTTTTATATATACAGTAACTTTATGTGTAAATATATAAGCGGTGCAAGTTTAAAGATGTTGTGTTTCATGTGTTTTTTTTTCCTGATATGTTGTCCAATTGTTGACAGTTCTGAAGAATTCTAATAAAAATGTAAATATATAAATGTAATAGGTTTTTGCGATTTCTTTAAGTGCACTCACCCCGTTGGAAAGCCTTGTACCCTATTTGCATAAAATGCATGTAAGACTCAAACCACAGAAGGATTCATATCCGTGAAGATTGAGTAGACGTTTATTAATAATTTTAGCATGTGCTATATTTTCTCATTTTATCCTTACAACCTGGGGTCTCTGTCTAAATTGAAAAACAAATGTAGAAAACATTTTGAGAATTTTCCACATAGCTATGATTAACATTAGGTTGATTCATGTGAAGTGAGTATTTGTTGGCAAAATAACAGTAAATAACAGCAATTTCATGTGGTCCAAGCTAATGTACCCGGCATGTTTCCTCCTAAAACAGACTGACTAAAAATTAGGCTCAACGGTAATGTACAAGATTGGCATCAGCAAGCTGAAAAAAGCAGCTTGTGTTCATGGTGTGGGTTTCGAGGAGAGGTGATGTCATCATGCGGTAGATGGTCTTGTTCTGCCACCGGGCCTTCTCACTGACTTCTGGGACAGAACTAAGGACCCTCACTTGTTTGGAGACAGGTGCCATGTTAGTAGGAGACTGTCCTGTGTCTGGAGCATCCTGTGGGACCAGAGGGCACTAGCCAGACCATTGGAACCAGCTTGAGAGGAAGAACTTCCCTGTACCTTGTAATCCTATTATGAATAGGTTTGGGGGGCTGGGGTGGTAAGCTCTGTAAACATGTAGACCCAAGTTCAATCCCCAGAACTTGACTTGAGAGGCAGAGGCAGGCAGATCTCTGAGTTCCAGGCCAGCCAGGACTACATGTCTCAAAAAAAGTGGGGGAAGAGACTGACATGGCATGAACTTAGAATCCTAGTGCTGGGCAGGCAGAGAAAAGTGGCTCCGGGAAACTTGCTGGCCAGCCAGTCTAGCCTAGTAGGCGAGTTCTAGGTAGTGAGACACTGTCTCAAAAGAAAAGTGAACAGCATCTGAGGAATGATCCCCAAGGTTGTCCTCTGACCTCCACATCCATATACATGAACGTACAAAAATGGGTTATATGCCCAAACATCATCAGTCTTGACTCCCTTTGTAGACATGTCCACCTGCAGAAGTGTCCCCAAAGGGAAGAGAGAAAAGGTGAGCTGTAATGAAGATGAATCCTTTCAAATCAGAAAGGAATTGTATGGCCAGGAACGCATCACCAATCAGGAAAACAGTTGCATTTCTGTCAGGCCGTTGCCACCATTTTATTATATGTAGGAATAAATGTTAATTGACCTCAAAACAAGAGGCCCTTTCTAAGGGTCTCACTCAGGCTTTGCTTTCACTCTCAGCCTTTATCATCTTTGAAATCTTGCATTAAATCAGTTGAGGTGCTCCTGTGTTTTCAGTCTAGTTTTTTCTCCCAGTGGCCCAGGCCCTTGTTGAAGCTCAAACTGGGTTTAGATCTTGGTGCCAGCCGTGTCTTTACCATTTACTGCTGTGTGAATCTGAGCTGATTAGCTCTTTAAATTTCAGGTCCATAGTACTACTGAGTTCTGTGATGCACTAATATGGAGCCGTTAGGACCACCTCACTTGAATACCTAATACATACATAGTGCTCAAAAATGGCAACATTCACATCATAGTTTAGGCTTAGTCAGTAGGAGGAAGTGCAGCAGCGCTCCTGCAATGGCAGAGCTCATGTAGAATTGCAAAAGAAAATGTTTGCTTCTCATTGTTACCATTCTCTTAAATGCAGACAACTGTACGAGTTAGTGTGCTGTGAAGCTTGGCTTTGCTGTAGGCATTTCTGTGCTCATTAAAATCCCAACATTTTAACCTCTTGTTTCACCTGTTAAGTTTCCCTTCCCTGTTCACTGGCTGATGTATATGCCCAACACTTCCTGCTTCCCATCTCAAACCTGGTATCTCTGAACAAGTCCCCCATCTTTCATGGCCAGCAAAAATCATCTCAACTGGAAATAGCCTCTTCATTCCCACAATGTTGCATACTTTTTTAGGAATCTTACCATCAGTTCTGCCTTGAAAGATAGTTATTTTACCTTTTGTCTTACCTCTCATATGGCCACTTTGTCTAGACTTAAAAATCAGTTAACAAGATACCCATGCATTTACTGGTATCATACACTTGGGTAATGAATCATCTGGACTCTCAGAGGTTAAATTGCCCAAAAGGTTGCAAGAGTTCATAAACATTTGCTCAAATTCCCTTGACAGTCCATGGAGTCAGAATTTGCACATCTCCCACCTTCCTGTCCATAGAAGACATCACTCATCCATCCCAGCCCTCCTCCCCTTGAGCTAAGGTACCTCGGGAGCTCCAGCTTCTCCAGAAAGCCCATGCCTGAGGGAGACTGACTTCTCATCCCCCAAATGGTTAACAAGTTTTTATGTTCTTAGGCATGTTCCTGAGGCACTAGTGTTTTCCATACAGGCCCTGAAGCTACAAGCACAGTGCTCAAAGAATAGTTACTATTTCTCAATTAAATTAAACATTCCATCAGTCGGGAATGAGGGAGAGCCATCTGGAGGGAGGAATTGCACCCAGGAAAAATAAGAAGGCAAAACTTGCTCAGAGTGGGACAAAGGTATCCTTATTGAACACCGGGGCAGGGAGAAGGGAAAGACCTGCTCAGTCCCTCCATGGGAAGGAGGAAAGAAGTAGAGAGAGGAGTGCTTGCATGGGTAGTGAAGGCTAGAAAGGAAGGGACACAACTCTTTCTCAAGTGGGGAGAGGCCCGGTGTAGTGGTGCATGCCTTTAATCCTAGTACTCAGGAAGAGAGGCAGATGGATCTCTGTGAGCTGGAAGCCAGCCTGGTAAATCCCAGGCCTGCTGGGACTACAGGGAGACCCAAACAAGACTGCCATGAGACTTAACCTTGAAATAAGTCAGCAGAGCCAATATCTATGGGGGGAACACCCATAAGAGTGTTCTCTGGACCACTTGGGCAGCCTTCCAATGAGCTTTTTAAAAAAATATTTTACATTTTATTTTATGGGTATGAGTGTGTTACCTACATGCTTGTAAGTACAGTCATGTCATGCAATGCCCACAGAGGTCAGAAAATGGTGTCAGATTCCCCTGGAACTGGAGTTACAAACAGTTATTAGCTGCCATGTGGGTGTTGGGAATCAAACTCAGGTCTTTTGCAAGAGCAGTCAGTGCTCTTAACCACTGAGTCATCTTTCCAGTTCCCTCAAGGAGTTTTTAAAAAGGAAAAGGTATTAGTTTTCAGGGGGTTGCCTTGACAGAATCCTTAAGCTGGCTGATGTCAACAACAGAAACATGATTGTTTATCACAGTTCTACATGCTAGACGGTCAAGGACAGGGTGTGGCAGGGTTAGCTCCTGAAAGTGAAAGGATTTACGTCTTTTATGTTCTTACAATCCTTGGCGATTTCTGGTTTCTATATCTCTGCCTCTGTCTTTGTAATCTCTCTCTCTCTCTCTCTCTCTCTCTCTCTCTCTCTCTCTCTCTCATGTCCAGTCTATAGTCTCCTTGGACTGGTGGTCCACATTGCTCCAGGATGACCTCATCTTAACTAATTATATCTGCAGAGACTATTTCCAAATGAACTCACATCCCGAAGTACTAGGGGCTAGGTTATGACCTCGACATACAAATTTGGGAGTGATGTTTAATTTAACCCATAACAGAAGAGCTGAAACTCCTTCTGTATTGTAGCAGATAACCTATTCCTCATAAGAATACTGAAACTGATTCTCCAAAACCTCTTGAATCATCTCCAAAGTGCACATCCAGAGTATCTTTTTCAATTGTTTATTATCTGAAATTCACATTTAACTTGGTGCCCTTCAGTGTGCTAAATCTGGCAGCCCAGGTCTAGATACTGAGCCTCTACATTTTGGTGTAGGAACTGAATATCATTGGCTATTCAAGATCCAGCACACAGCAGAAACACAGTTTCAGTTGTATTAAATATAGGGGAGGGATTTTATTTTAATGAAAGCCTGAAAGAGGCAACGCTCCTTAGTCTAATTATCTCACCTTCAGTCTTGACAGATCTTCTTACTAGGTGCTGAGCTCCAGTGGAGGTGATAGTTTTTAGCTCATTTGTTTCCACCCTCTTCCAATTTTCATCATTGCTATAAAGAATCAGTCCAGGGGGCTGAGTACATGGCTCAGAGAGTAAAGTGAGGACCTGAGTTCAAGTCCCAGCACCTATGTGAAAGCCAGGCCTGTGCCTATAATACTAGTACTGGAGAGGTGGAGACAGGAGGATCCCTAAGTCTTGCTGGCCAACTAGTTTATCCAAATTGGTGAGCTCCAAGTACAATAATGGACCCTAGTTTTAAAAGTAAGATAGAGAAGAAGACACCAACATCAACCTCTGGCCTCCACACATGCATGTATACAGGCATGTCCATACACACACACACACACACACACACACACACACACACACGCACGCATACATACATACACACAGAGAAGTGGGCTCAGTCTGCTTTTCTAAGGATGGTTATCTATATTTTTGCATTAGAAAGTCCATATCTTTGGACTTTAATGCTTTATTATGATGTGGCTAAACTTGAATTTCCTTTTTTTTTTTTTAATTTAGACTTCTTGAATCTACACACACAGTTTGCTTGCTTGCTTTTAATCAACACTAGACATTATCTGTCCTTTTGAGATTGCCTGTGGTCCATCCTGTTCTCCTCTTCTGGTACTCTGCTGCATCTTGGGCATTCTCACTTATGCTCCAGGCCTTTTAATTCAATCTAATTTTCGTGTTTCCTTCTTTTTGACATTCTATGCTACATGCAAGAGAATTTCTGGTTTTCCTGTTATCTGAATCCACTTTTGGCTCCATTGGAAAATATTTTAGTAGTTTCATTGAGGTATAATTAATAAACCACAAGGTAGGTATCAAGTAATTTTAATTAGTTACTTTTTAGTTATTCTTGCTTTCTGAAATGACGTTACACATTTTGACTCACTCATAGCACACATTCACTCACTGACCATCTTTGGGCCCTTTCTAAGTATCCTGGGCCTTTA